AAGGGGTGCTTCGCAACTGTCAGCGTGTTCAACGCGAGTACGAAGGCTGATGTTCCTGCTGCCACTCAGGCGCTGGTACTTGCGAAAGTGTCGTCAATTTTGAGCTGCCTGCCTTGAAGTAACCGTAACGACTGCTAGGGAGAGTATAAGTCAGTCTTAGTTAGACCGTTTTACACCTCTACAATCAACTCAGTAGGTAGGCATTCATTCTGTATATCTGAATATCTTCACGTTCCAGGCGCTGGATATCATGTCTGCTATTCTCGTTCCCACTTCATCGCTTTCCTTGCAAATCAACATCCTCGCACTCCACAGTGAATATTTGGCTGAGTCCGATCTTGTAGATCAACTTTGCACCTATGTATCTCCCCTCTGCCTCCATGTTATGAAGATCGTTTTCAGTGATATGTGTGAACCCCCCGACCCAAATATCCCTGTTAAGGCCAAATAATTTCCAAGCGGCCGGTAAAGACCCGCTGTGGATCAGTGTGGCAAGCAAAGGTCCTGTCTCCGGTCGGTATGAGCTACCTTGCTACGACAGCCTGAGCGTACCGCTTCACTTGTGAAAACGCCACCACGAGACATTCTTGCAGCCGGTGATGTCGCTACATCAATACCTAGCCGTAAGGCAGTTCGTCGACATCGCACAACACCCTCGGTGAACGCTCGAATGATCGATCCTATCACTCAGGAGGGATCAATGTTCGACATTCTGCAGCGCTCACACCGAATAGGGTTTCCGATCCAAATGAATTGCTCTGCCAAGCGGGTATGGATGAACGAAAGACTACGAGTAAACGCGCTAAACTAGGATAAAAGCAAACCTCAAAGCACGGGGGCTGAAAAGGGACCAGGGAACGTTCAAGTACCATCAACCCAGATGAAATGATGTGTTAAAGAATGGGCAGTCGAGCCCAATGAAAGACAGCTCCGCGACGCGCGAGGAGCCGAGAGAGAAAGAAAAGAAAAACCCGTCATGCAATGATTAAACTAGGGGGCTTGCCGATGGAGGAAGGGGCGGCGAGGCGATCAGTTTCGTGCATTCTGCGCATCACCTTTCGCGGGTGTAGCAGCAGCAGCAGCATCCTTGGCGTTTGTGTCTGCCTTGGTGTTTGCCGCGGCACCTTTAGCCGGTGCGGGTGTGGTTGCTGCGGCACCTTTAGCTGGTGCGGGTGTGGTTGCTGCGGCACCTTTGGCGGGTGCTGGTGTGTCCGCTGCAGCGCCCTTGGCGGGTGCCGGCGCAGCCTCGGCAGCTACAGCCTTTGCTGTTGCAACAGGTGCCTTCACAGAAGTGGCGGCCTTGGTAGGAGTAACCTGTGCGCCCTTGCCAGTCGCGACGGAAGTGGCCTTGACGGTAGCCGTAGCCTTACCAGTGGCAGCGGCGGAGGTGACCTTACCAGTGGCAGCGGCAGAGGTGACCTTACCAGTTGCAGTGGACTTGCCGGTGGCGGTAGCCGTGCCAGTTGCAGAAACGGATTCGGTAACCTTGCCGCTGGCTGTGGCGGTGGCTGTCGCAGATACAGAAGCAGAGACGGATGCGGTAGCAGTACTTTTGACACCACTCTTGACAGTGGAGGAAGCGGCGACTGAGCTGGCAGCTGCGGACGAGGCTGCAGCCGGAGGAGCACCAACGGAGCCAGGGATGGGCTTGCCGTCGGCGGTAACGGTGAACTGGAAAAAAAATCATATCATGAGTATCAGGGCACCAGAACTGAGATAGAGGACGTACGTAGATGGCATCATCGAGAGAACCGTGCTGGGCAACAGCGACAATGGCGGGGGCGTGGTTGGCCGAGGTGTTGATGGACGATAGCTTGTAGAAACCAGCGGGGAGACCAGAAGTGACGTCTGCGGTGAGCTTACCACCGGCGGCAGGTGCGTTCAAGCCCTTGAAGAAGGCGAACTTCTTGGGGTCGGTGGGAGTGGCTTGGTCGATTGCGCTGAGCGGTTCAATGACGATGTGTGAGTGACCTATGATCTGGCCCTGGCCGTTGAGTTGCTGGGGTGCAGCGAAGTAGTTCTCCTGAGCGTTGACGAAGAATCCGGTCTGCATGCCCCTGATGTTCATCGAGACAGTGAAGGGAGTGTTCGCCTTCACAGTTCCGAAATTTGCGGGGAAGGAGAATTTCGACGACGGCATGTTCTCAGTAGAGGGGATAACACCTATGGGGGCGGGGTTGCAAGAGCCGGTGGTGATTTGCTTGCCGTCAGTGATGGGAAGGTTCCCGACCGTAAGGCAGAAGTTGATGAAGTTGTTCGTGGACGTGAGCGACTTCACTTGTCCTTCAGCAGGAACATCTTGACCGTCATTGGCGAAACCCTTGGCGATGACTCTGGGGTCGAGAGCTAAAAACAACACAAAAAAACAAAAAAAGGATAGTGAGGGTTAACAAGCGTTTATCAAATGAAGTTGGCAGTACATACTCAATGAAGTTTGGGCATTGCCAGTGTTACCGCCGTTGTTACCGGTGTTATCTCCGGTGTTACCTCCGGTGTTGCCTCCGGTGTTGCCTCCGGTGTTGCCTCCGGTGTTGCCTCCGGTGTTGCCTCCTGTGTTGCCCTTGCCAGTGTTCGTCTATAGCGCAAGTCAATTTGAGATAAGAGGAAATCAAAGCAAGGACAACTTACGGCACCGGCTGCGCTGGTGGTCGCCGTAGTTGTACCCTTGACGCCACCGGCCTTGGTCGTGGCGGCGGCTTTGGTGGTACCAGCTTTCGTTGTGGCAGCGGCCTTCGTGGTGGTAGCGGCTTTCGTTGTAGCGGCCTTCGTGGTGGTGTTCTTCACACCGCCGTTTCCGTTGTTGCCATTGCCGTTGTTATTGCCCGTATTCCCGTTGTTGTTATTTCCATTATTTCCTACAATCCTTGGTCAGTAAACCCGCCCACAGAGGGGCAGTGAAAGATATAATCACCGTTATTTCCCTGGTTGTTGTTCCCGTTGTTGTTGTTGTTCCCGGTGTTCGTGTTATTGTTGTTAGGCTTCGGCGTCGCGGTAGCACGAGCCGTAACAGTCACAGTCGAGACCACGGTACGGATTTGAGGGGGCTGAGCGATCAAGTTTATTAGTCGGATCTGGTGGGAGATAAGCGCTGCGAACTTACTGCACAATGATTGCCAAACCGATCCTGTTGCGGTGCCGGTGCAGCCTGGGCAGTGAAGGAAGACAAAGCAAGGGTAAGGAAGGCCACCAAGAGAGATCGAGAATGCATGTCGTTAAAAAGAGAGGGTTTTCAAAAGTAAAAGAGAGTGTAAAATGCTTTGAGGCGGAGCAGTTTCAAACTTGGACTTCGGAGCAAAGAAGAAAACGACACCAGTGTCGGGCGTTCGTAGTCTTTGGGGACGCACTAGGCGACAGCCGTAGGCAGAGCAGGCAGAGGACGGAAAGAAGAAGGGGAGAAAGAATGAACCAATCTGTTGCCTTCGTGCCTTATATACCACATGCCACTGTCCACACTTCATCCTTCAGATTCGGCATCGCTCGGCTGTTCCCTTTGTTGACATCTGTGTCGTTTGCCTGCTCTCGCCTTCTCCCGCCGCGCGCCCCCTCTCCTTGCCCATCTCTCATATCGTCTATCGTGATAGACGACCTCCCGCATCCACATACGCAGTCCGAAAATATTTCAGCGAAACCATTTTTTATCAGCGCAAAGCGTCAAAACAAGAGACGTCTTACCCGTTGCCAACGTGCTATTTATATCAAACTGCCTTCATGACAGGTCACAACGGCCCACCCATCTTGTCGGAGACGTCTGCGGTACCTATTGGCCGTCTACAAACCAGTGCATTATATCAAGTTGCTGACAGCTCGATGTTGATGCTGGACCACCATCGCCAGCGTTCTTTGATTTTGCGCGTCAATATAGGCATCTGAATCTGTTACCCAAACATCTGACTCCTGACATGCATCTTCCAGCGTCATCTTGAAGAATCCAGATGAGGTGGTCGACAGCAGCGAGCGCTCAACGTTTTGGACGATGAGGCGGTCGTCTCAGAATTATTCTGGATCTCCTCGCATCTCTCGACCCAATCAAGCCAGCACCCTGCCATATCCCAGTTGGGCCACCATACTCATTCCTCGCCCCTTCAAGCCCTTGTTTCTTGCGCACCTGACCCATATCTTTGATGGCAGTAATGGGCGTTACTTCACTATCCGTCCGTCATGATTCCGCCGAAACTGATCCTCAACGGACGTCGGTCGAGCATCACTTGAGCTTTAGCTATGGCTGAGGGGGGACTATCACTTACTCGATCAGACGAGTGATTCACAAGACGAGTCTATTTATACACGCATCAGCGTGGTCCCACATCGCATCTTAAGTATCGACTAGCAAGCCCAGCTGCCCATCTACCTACACGTTCGCCTGGGAACTTCATCAACGTATTCATCGTTCATGAAACGCCGGTCATCATCGGCAATGGCATCATCGGGGCCGTGGACGCTGGCTTGCGACCATCGAGGAGCACGTCCAATGGAAGCCTACTTAGTAGGACCCAATCTAGGGTTCCTCGATGCCTCTCTTGGGCGTCCAACCCTGTAAAGTGTACGGATGCTGATAGCTTGATAGCTTATTCAGTTACTGATTCCACTGCGGCCGTTTTGAGCCTTGGGACGATATCAAACTCTCCCCCAAAACAGCCGCATATGTACCTACTCTGGCCCCAGAGGTGTACCGTACTCAGACTGTATCATGCATTCGTACGGTGTACCCCACTTGGCCATAGTTACCGGATTTTCATCTAGGCAGATGATCCGCGACCCGTTGTTGGCTCAAATGACACGTATCCCGTTCATATGGTACTTGGCTGCATGACGCTGTCAGCCTGAACTGAGCAAATGTCCTTTTCACCAAGACAACTGGCAAGGTAGGGCAGTTATTTTTAGGCTCAATCCATGTGCATTCTGCTCCTGCAGGAACAAAAGAAAACCTAAGTATCTGATAGAGCGATACTTAAACTTAGGCCTATTGGCATTGGGAAAAGGCCTGACGAAGTCCTTCACATGGGTCGATGGCGTAGTTGGTTATCGCATCTGTCTCACATTTTCGTCTCATGATGACCATGTGCACAGGAGGTCCTCAGTTCGAGCCTGGGTCGACTCATAGCATTGATTTACGTTTCATGTGCTTTTTTTGGTGCTACAACCCTTGCTCTCCCAACCGCCACCATAAATCAAGACCAAGTTTTCTGAATTCAAATCTCTAGATTCCACCATCGCGGCGCACAGCTGCGGCCTGCCAGAGTTGGAATATCACGGGAGCGTAGTTAGATTTATCAAAGGACACACATGGCATGACCACATCCTGTCCCCAAGAGCGCAGAAAACACCCATGTACGGTCATTCGACCAAATTGGGATCCAGGCAAGCACAAGCATGCGCAGCGTCTTCGCCGTATGTTCTGACCTTTTCTCTAGCGCAATTGAATTCTGGAGTGTGTCAAAAGGATCAGCAAGGATCGAAATCTTAGCGCGCGAACATCCCTAGGACACGTTGGACAGCAGTACCCCTCGTGTCAGGACTCTTCGATCGTCACTGTCATCTTCCTCAGGATACAGCCCTTTAAGCATGTGGGAAGGTGCTGGCTTTCGAAAGTCAGCAGCTCATCTATTCTTCACATTGTAAGCGCCAGGACCTCCCGCTCGGCTCGATCATGTCGAACCATGGTCTGAGACGGCACCTGCGAAATCGACAGAAGCATCTGCGCAGCAGAGAATACCAGAAGTGCCAGGATGATGGTCGTCTGGCTTAAACTGGGAAGAGAAGACTTGCCACCACAAGGTCTGGTGTTTGTCGCTCCATGTGAAGAATGCATGCTCCGTGGCTTTCGAATGGCGTAGGAAGGCAGGCAATAGCGATGGGAGGCCGAAGGACCTCGACATGCACGCATGTTTGCAAGAAATGGCGTGGCAACCTGAAGGTTCCTACTTTTTAGCGATTACAGGTGTTGCATGGTCCTTGAGATTTCCTTCTAGGTAACCGAAGTCAAGTCGATCATCGTCCATGACCGGAAAGAGTACAAATATATACCTACCACAGAACCCGGACAACTCGTTCGACATGTCGAAGACCGTTAGCGATCACCTGAAGTAGGGGCATGAAAAATCAGGCAAATCACCGCACCCTAGACGCGTTTTAACTCTTCAGAAAACTCATGATCGCTTGCTGCGTCCATCTAAAGTGACCCAATTTGATTTATTGCATCTGCGTGTGAATATGTAGTCAAAAACATACGGTACTTATGCGGCTCATGCTCCCCAACTGAGAGTAGAGGTACGCTGGTAAAGGATCTCGAAACGCTACACATGAGCTCCGTTGCTGCCGCACCAACCAAGGTTACCCAATAGAGAAGAGGGTGAATCTCAAAGCCCGCCATTAGACAAGCTCGATGTTGAAGCTCGTCACCTGCGGCAAGTACGCCCCAGCAGCGAGGTCCAGGATGTACACATCATCGTAAGAGGTCGTTCCGTCATAACCACCAAAGAGGAATAGTCGGCTGTCCGCCAGGATTGTGGAGTGATATCCGCGACCACTTGGAGGTCTCCCAAAGGCTGACCGTGGCTCGTAGGTAAGCGACACTAGAATAGTATGAGAATGTCGATGTAACAAATGAGAACGTTCAAAGACGCACCCAGATTAAATGGAAGGACATCGGAGCAATATTCCTCGCCGTTGAAGCCTCCAGTAATGAAAAGGAACGAGCCGACCTGGGTGGCGCTATGTGCTATTCGTTTGTATTTTGACGTCAGGAGCGTGACTTGACTCCAGTGGCGAGTATCTGCGATAAAATCAGCCAAGCCTCAATAACAATGCTGCCCTCCCTTACCAAGGTCAAGACACCACACATCCGTGAAGAAATCCTTCCCATCGCTGCCGCCCACCACAACCATCAGATTCCCCACTAAGTTGGCCGTATGATATCCCCTGTTCTTAGGTGTCCTCCCGGTGGTCTTAACCTCCTCCCATTTCATCCTACTGAACGACGACACGTCAAGCGTCCAGACATCGTTCAAGGCGTTCAAACCTGTCCCACCACCGAAAATCCATATCTTCTGCTGATACAAGACGGCCGAGTGTGCGCGACGACGGGTTGGGAGGGGCCCAGAGACGGTAGGCTGCGTCCAGTGGCGGGTCGCGGTATCGAAGACGTAGACCTTATCGTAGTACTGTATGCCGTGGCCGCCGCCAAATACGACGAGTTTGCGGTCGACCAAAGTCGTGGTATGCGCCCGACAGGGCGGGGGTATATCACCAGTCGTTTCCCGAATGGTCCATTGCATTGTCTCTACCGGGGAAAGCACATGAGCAGTGTCAGTTTTTCGAACGCGGAACTAACGCACCGGTGTCAAAGCAGAACATATCTTTCATATCTTTGCACACTTCCTTATCGTCATTTCCACCGAAGAGCCATGCAGTAGTGTCAACCAGCGTCATCGTGTGTGCCCGCATCGTACGTTGAGGTACGGCGCCATACACTGGCGCACGACTCCAGTGCATCGCGGTGCTTGGCACGCTCTCGGCGTTCTTGTCATGAGGGAGAGTCGGGATGTCTCTGATCCTCTGGACCGATGGAATGGGTGCAGGAGGTTTCCGGCTCTTCGAAGAGGACGATATGGAGGAGGATGAAGGGTTTCGTTTGGCAGCAGTGACAGTCACCGATGGGATCGTACTTTCACTCGAGGATCGACCAAGGGTCCGGATACTCGCTGTTCGAACCTTCGATCCGCTTGAGCGAGAACCGGAAGCAGATGCTGAGGGTGGGCCAAGGGTAGAGCTGGAAGACGTGGCTGAGTTCATCGGGCTCAGATATGGTGAGTTCTCTGAACGAGGGCTCATTGCGGTCGTCGGTGCGAAAGAGCCCTCTTCAGGCACGTCACTCAGGCTACGGGGGACGCCACTCATGTTCGTCAATGATACCGCGCTGTGAAATACACGTGGTGGCCGTTGTGGAAGACGACAGGAGACGCATACGCCCGCCTCTATCAAGTGATCCACGTGGTGATCACCAAGTATTGGCACCGAACAGCCTAGCAGGTAGTAAAACCTATATATTTGTGTTTACGACAGATGCAACACGTTCAAATGTGTCTTGACGGTGTCTAGCAATGAATCCGACTGCGAAGGAATCGTTTGCGGAGATGTAGAGATTTCCACTTTTCTGTCTCTACCTCATCCCCCATGCGACAACCCGAGCTCAAGAGACGGAGGAGTAGAACATAATTTGTACCTCAAAGCTAATGGCTGCTTTAGTAGCAAGGTTAGGTCGAATTGCATTGGAGGGTTGATTCGGACCACTTGCTTGGTTCGTTGGGCTGGACATGATTAACACAGATGAAGATGCCCCAAAAGCAACCCGAAAGGATGCACAGCGCTAACAGCCAGGCCCACAGCGCTGTTGGTGACGAACGATCTGTCATATACACGAGTCAAACGAGTGTGATTGGTACCTAAAAACAAGCTTCTCCAGCACAGGACCATGGTATACCGATAATAACTCCTTCTCGATCCTATTACTCAAAGCATACCCAAAGCCAAGGAAGACATGAATCCCAGAAGCAGACCACCGGATTGACCGATCTTTCCAGCCGCGTTAGACGTCGATGCGGGGCTAGGCGCGGTCTGGCTACCCGAAGTATTTGCATCCGTCTGGCCTGGCGTCTGGCCTGGCGAGGCCGCAGATGTCGTGGAAGGAGGCGGGGAGGCTGGGGCCTTTGCTGCGTTTTCTTTGAATGCGGCGGCGGTCTGGGTATCAGAGGGGTTGACGGCTAGGAGAGCTCCTTTGTTGCACAGGCCACCGGCCTCGTCGAAGAACCAGATCGGGTCGGTGCTGTTCACGGTAATTGTATACTTAGGCAACCCGGGAGCATCGACACTCAGACTGTCAGCTACCTATTCGAAGCAAAGTACAATTAGTTTGTTGCCGATACTACGGGATGATGAGGGCTTGCAGTTTGAACACCAGTATTGATCCCACCGTTGCCCGTGCATGGGTTCGCGAAGGTGGATTCTGAGGAATTGACCCGCAAGATCAGCCATATTATAAATAGACAACGAGGGAACACGACGTACGAACAACGCTGTGTTGTCCACTGCGGAACTCCCAAACGATGGTGTCGCCTACTTGAGGGTGAATAACTGAGGGGTCAAATCCGAGACCTTTCTTCCTGGGGTGGAATGAGCAAAAATAAAATATCAAGTTATGAAATGTAGGTACGGACCCAGTCGTCTCGTCTTTACCGACTCCAACGAGATATTCAGCTCCAAAAACGAGAGGAAGGAAGCTGAGAGGAGCGAGGACAATGAGCGAAGTGCACTTCATTAGGAAAAAGGGATGATAGGGAAAGAGAAGGACGGGGTTGTGTGTTCAAACCAGAGGGGATGCTCGAGGGATGTAGCTGAAGAATGTTCGGAAGTAGGTTCGCAACTCGGAGAATACTGCTTGCTCTTGTATTTATTACAGGCTCTTGTCAAGGAAAGAAGCGATCGAGAATAAATTGCTTCCGTCTTGCTTCCGTCCTTCCCTCAGCGGTACCGTGGGTCATAAAGAATGCCAGTCCCTTCGTGCGTCGAGGGGCACTGTAATCTACGTTAGATAGTTTATCTGAGAAGATAAATAAAGATAAGGTAGCAGGTGCAAATAGAGCAAAGTCAGATCGTACTAAGAGATGTAAAGGTCATGGTCCAGTAAATCAGCAGCGTAAACACGGTCGAAGACAGCACGAAGCGACTCATCGACGCTACGGAACAGCGATCCCCTCTTTAACGTACTCTAGTCCCCCATCATATTCCCCGTCCACATCGTCCATGTCTTCCACATCAAGACCCAAGCACAGCTGTGCGAGCCCCAAATCATGCAGCCTTGTCATCTTCATCAGCATACTGAGCCCCGTTCCCACGTCGCCCCTTGCATTTCCCTCTGCTGGCCCATTCAACAGGCCCCACGTGCGATCATCAAGCTCATCCTCCATCCGTCCCCAGGCGGAGCGGATGGCACCGGGGTAATTGAAGGACGCGACGATGAAACATACGGGAGAACCTGAAAGGATCGCGGACAAGGAATGATGGGAGATTCAGTAGGGTCGATTGAAGGATAAGGGAATGGGA